AATCCGAGGAGCTATCGATCTATTATATCAGTACGGGCGGGGGCGAGGCGGGGTCAGAAGAAGATCAACTTATATGGAATCATGTTAACAGTTGGAGGGAGGGGGTGGGGGTCAAGTACTTAGTAATTATGTGTTTGCTTTATGCGCTCACACAATCTTAAAGTAAAGTGCACCTTTCGGTCCTAACGGTAATCGGAGGAGCTAAGATAGAGCTCATCTGTTTCTTTACCATGGCATATAAAGGAATAGTGTGGTCAGCACTATGCCCAACTGCCAATACTTGAACTAATGTGAGTCAGGTACCCATCAAAGCTGGGTGGACTCAAGGATGTCCTACAGACTGGAGTCCGATATCCGAACACGAGACTTTTGGGTTAGCAGTCGAGCGCTCTACCTCTCAGCCACACCGTCAAAATACAAACTCAATCCCCCAAACTGATATTCCTCTCACTCAGATGCTTTTTTTACGCCATCATTTCAACAGTCGACGTAATTCTCTCCCCTTCCTATCGTATCGAAACATGCGAGCTAAGTGTATTAGATAAGGGGAGACAAACACCAGCCCCAGGGACTTTGTGCTTCCTGATAGAATACGTCTCAACACTTAGGTAGGATGGAAATTAGTACCAAATCTTATGGTGTTTTTGTAAATATTGTTTCCACCAATATAATATTTGTATTTGATGAACATTTGTTATAGCGGTGTATTGTAAACACTTTTTATGTATGTCAGTGTGTCTATATGTGTAGGTGTGGGTGTGTGTTAATGTAGGTGTGCATACATAATTATGGTGGCCTTCACGCTCACCATCTTCAATGAAGGTTTAGTTATCCAACTTAGAAAGTTAGTTAGTATATTATTGACTCAAAAGTTTACGTCAAAAAAAAAAACAGAAAGAAAGAAAACTAAACATAAAACCGCATTAGAATGAAATTGTCCCAAATACAAGATGAGAAAACGATTGTGTTGAAAGCTTGACAAAACATTACTTACCACTAAAACATAAATCCATTTTTGTTCTTTAAATTGACTTAAAGTTTAAATAAAAATTTTCTTGAACAAATAATCACCAAGTATGTGAGTGCACACTAAAAACAATAATGCAATATGCGTGCCTTACAATAGTAATGAGAAATGTGAATACAATCTTACCGGAGTCGAGTTGTGAAGCATTCCGTGAGGTGTAGTAAAAGAAGATTGATCGGGTGATGGGAACTGCGCGCATGACGCGCTACCCGCAATTCTCTGTCTGTGAAACACGTGTTGATGCCGGTCAGAAATCTCGTGGTTATATAACTGATGGTTAGTGAAAATTTTGGTCGCTAGACTTCTGGTCAGTAAAGTTTTTAGTCGTTAGACTACTGGTCAGTAAAAATGTTTGTCACTAAACCACTGGGCAGTAAAAATTTTTGTCACTTGACTACTGGGTAGTAAAGATTTTGGTCACTAGACCACTGGTCAGTAAAAATTTTGGTCACTAGACCACTGGGCAGTAAAGATTTTGGTTACTAGACTACAGGTCAGTAAAGATTTTGACCACTAGACCACTGGGCAATAAAGATTTTGGTCACTAGGCCACTGGGCAGTAAAGATTTTGGTCAGTAGACTACAGGTCAGTAAAGATTTTGGTCACTAGACTACAGGTAAGTAAAGATTTTGGTCACTAGACTACTGATCAGTAAAGATTTTGGTCGTAAGACTGCCGTTAAGTGAAGAAATTGGTCTTTATTAGTTAGGTAAGATGGTCGATGGACTAATAGACAATTAAGATAATTTTTTGTAATTTTAACTAGATCTAACCATGTTGATTTTTGTCATCAAGCTGCCTAGATGAATAGATTGGACGTACAACTGTTTGTTATTAATAAGAGATTGTTAATACAATTATTTCATAGCTAGTCAATAATCGCGACTCAGGTCCTTACCCATGGTGACATAATTGTCACTAACAGCTTTTTTATCGGGACGTTTGCAATGGGCGTGTAAACGTCTGAGATCAGTTCCAGAAAGTCTAAAATGTGTTCGTTAAAATAAAATACGTCTGAGAGTGTGCATTGGACGACTAATATGACAAACATTAGTTTATAGTGGTCTAAGGTAAACAAAAATAATTAATTAAGGTATGACCTGTACTCAAACCTTAAAGTCTCCAGCGTTTTCGTTTTCTTATTCATCTCTTCGGGGAAGGGATGGGGAGCACTGGCACGGGAGCAATTCCCCCCTCCCTCCCCAATTTCCCCAGGACGACATAGAAATCAATAAATATTTATACAACATTGGAAAGTTTAGCGCGTGACCTCCTTGAAAGTTTTGAAGTGTCCCCCTCCCCCGGAGAACACAAATAATGAAAGAAACCCGCTGTGTGGCGTAATTAACGAGGTCATTGCCCTAGATCCTGCTTTTAAAAATATATTTTAAAAAAACAATTTATAAAAACAAGTTTTTAATTAAACTGAAAATAAATTAATAAAACCATTTTTTTAGTTAAATTACTGGTCGATCATTAAATCTCTAAACTATTTTATCAATTAATATTTTATTAAGTAACTACTTTATTTACTTTTTCCGATGTGTTTAATCCTGTTATCTCGCTGCATAAGAAATGGGTAAACGTGAGTTTAAAATGTGACAACACAGACATTGTGACATACGTTATACTTAAAAATAAACTACAATTATCTTTTCTAAAAATAGGAAATCGACTAATTACAGGATAGTCCGAAATGTAATATTTTGATAAGTATATGATGGTATTTAATAACCGGTGCTTAATTGGTTGATCGTTATATTTCCTGAGGCACACGTAATGCTGGTTATCTAATTATTGGTAAAATTTAAAAAATTTGGTTGGTCATATTACGGTCATTAAGCATCGCGACAAATGATTTTGTTTGTTAGTGGAATTATGTTTCATTAAGGAATCATATAATTATAGAGCTTTTTAAAATAATGTTATTTTGGTTGGGTGGGTGGGGAGGGGGAGAATAAGGGGGGGGGGGAGAATAGGGGGTGGGGTGGAATAAGGGTGGGGGGGGGGGGGGTAACCCACATATACATTGGTTATGTTGTGGTTTTTTTAGCTGATTTAAGATTTTGACAGTTCTGTTTTAAATATACGGAGCCCTTGGTGCACATTTTTTGCATTTGGCCGCGAGCTATATACCTGGGTGTTTAGGTAATCACAAAGTATGTAGAGTAGGGCTGAGTGAATGATCGTCAGAGGCGTAGCGGGGGGGGGGGGGGGGGGGCGGGGGGTGCGGACCGCACCGGGTGACACCATTTAGGGGTGTGACACCAAGGCAAAAAATAGCAAAATATATTATATTTTAAAAAATTTGAGGGGGGTGCAAATCGAAAGTTTGAGGGGCGGGGGTGCAAATCGAAAGTTTGACGGGGGGGGTGCAAATCGTAAATTTGTTCCCGGGAAGTGTCGCTACGCCTCTGGGGGTGACACCATTAAGTGCCGCACCGGGTGACACCTGACCTCGCTACGCCACTGATGATCGTCACTATGTAGAGTAGGGCCAAGTGAATGATTGCCAGTATGTAGAGTAGGATCGAGTGATTGATTCTATACTTAGACCACGACATTTACTTACTATTATATCACGTATTATATCACATAAAAATACCTCGCATTTTGGCTATAAACCCTACCCCACATAACATAGACCACCACACGTCAACAAATACAAGAACCAACCTTCCCCACCCCCAATCCCTCCCATCACAAGCCACAAACCACATCGATTCCGCTAAACTGTGGTTTTGAAATAATAATTTCTGGACCCGCATAATATTAAAGAAAAATCACATGTATGGCCGGAAACTATAATATGGAATATGAAAAAGCAATGGTAGATAACACTCCTGCAAACACAGCCCCTAACCCTAAATGATTCTCCTTGGATTTGTCTTGTGATTAAATATTTTAAATACCTCGAATGGTCCCAGATTATGGACACTTGAGGTAAACAGAGCGGAATAGAGGGGCGATAACCCTTATAGGGGAAGTGACTCTGTTTTGTAATTGCTCCATTACTTCTGTGTAGGAAAGGTCATCAAAAGTTATTTATGATTTTTTTTTTATGTGTTAAAAGCTATTCGCTCGCAATTAACGACAAATTTAAAAAATAAGTGTTTTTGTTAAGATTTTTAATTAAATAAATTATTGAAGTGAAGCTGTATGAAGTTTTAACTTATATTGCTGTAAAACATTCTACGGTTTACATAATATATGAGACGTAGCCCGTTAGCAGAACTCTACTCTGTGAGACACACACACACACACACACACACACAAAAGCCGCCACAACAACCATCCCCACAACCACCATCCCCACACCCGCCACCCCCACATCCGCCATCCCCAAAACCACCATTCACAAACACCATCGCCACAACCACCATCCTCACACCCACCATCCCCACAACCACCATCCCCACAACCACCATCCCCACACCCGCCATCCCCACAACCACCATTCACAACCACCATCGCTACACCACCATTCACAACCACCATCCTCACACCCGCCAACCCCACACCCGCCATCCCCACAACCACCATTCACAACCACCATCCCCACAACCACCATTCACAACCACCATCGCTACATCCACCATCGCCACACCACCATCCCCACAACCACCATTCACACCCACCATCCCCACAACCACCATACACATCCACCAACTCCACAACCACCATCCCCACAACCACCATTCACAACCAACTATCCCAACACCCACCATCCCCACAACCACCATTCACAACCACCATCCCCGCAACCACCATTCACAACCACCATTCACAACCACCATCCCCACAACCACCATTCACAACCACCATTCACAACCACCAACTCCACAACCACCATCGCAACGCCACCATCGCCACACCACCATCCCCACAACCACCAACCACACAACGACCATCCCAACACCCACCATCCCCACAACCCCACAACGAATATTCCAACACCCACCATCCCCACAATCACCATCGCCACGCCACCATCGCCACACCACCATCCCAACTACCACCATTCCCATAACGACTATCCCAACACCCACCATCCCCACAACCACCATTCACAACCACCATCCCAACATCCACCATCGCCACATCCACAACCACCATCGCCACACCACCATCCCCACAACCACCATTCCCATAACGACTATCCCAACACCCACCATCCCCACAACCACCATTCACAACCACCATCCCAACATCCACCATCGCCACATCCACAACCACCATCGCCACACCACCATCCCCACAACCACCATTCCCATAACGACTATCCCAACACCCACCATCCCCACAACCACCATTCACAACCACCATCCCAACATCCACCATCGCCACATCCACAACCACCATCGCCACACCACCATCCCCACAACCACCATTCCCACAACGACTATTCCAACACCCACCAACATACACCTCCTTCCTACTTTCGCCCTTAAACCTATTAAAAAATTATTTTTTTTAAACCTGACTTGATAGAATTCGCTGAGTCTTAAAATTACCAGCCCACGAAGAGTTCTAGAAGGATATCTAAGACACCACTCCTCAGATCTCTCACAATCTTCGCCGTCTGGTTTGTTTCCATTTTTAGACACGCCGGATGTTGTCACTTTCATTTTCATAGAAAATTCAAAGTGAGGCTGTACCAAATTCTAACAACAGAAATTGGCGGTGTTTTTACAAACAACAGACAGGATAATATTGGCTCAGAGTGGGAAGACAAGGAAGAACTCGTGGACTGGGATATGCTAATTACGTGCAATTACACAAATAGTGCATACAATTTTAGCTCGTCGCAGATTTAACTGATGAGGTCAGCGGTATATTTGTGCTGATTGTTGAAAACATTCATAACGAGGGTAAACATCTTTCAAAAACACTTAATTAAGCATAAAAATTAATGAACATATTAAAGTTCAATTGTTTAATTTTTTTTCTACGAATCCAATTGATAGGAATATTTGCAGTGTTTCAATAAAAACATAGAGGTTAACCATAAATGTCAACCCCCAACCCTGCTAGGGGTGTGACCAGTGTTTCTTCCAGACTTTTTTCTCCGGGGGGGAGGGGGAGCTGGACTTTCTCCGGGGGGGGGGTGGACACTGTTAAAAGTATATATTTTCTATATAAATATCATTTCGTTCGGGGGGGGGGGGGCGGTAGACTTTCCCCGCTCTGCCCCCCCCCCCGAACAGATGCCTGGAAGAAACTCTGAGTGTGACGTCATTTATGGACGACCCAATAGCAAATAAAACACGTTAAAAACAAATTAATATCAGTGCACTTTAAAACTGAAATGAATTTTAGGTCAGCATAGAATATTTTTGCTAGAGGATTTACACAAGTAAAAATAGTTTTAAAACAGCATACATCGGCGGGAGAAAGAGTATTAATTAGACAAATGCATCCCTTAAAGGAAATAACATTATTTTAAAATAATGCATATTTTTACCATATTTAATAAGTGTTGTTTAATTCATGCCTAGCCACATGCACTAATTATGTTGTAGAAACCAGTAACGTGATTTTATTGTCGCCCTTACTGTTTTATTCAGGCAATATGTTTTTGCTCCAAACTCTGTTAATTAGCCTGGTTTTTTTTTGTCATAACATAAAAATATAGTTTTAATTACATCACTTGTTAAATTGTGTTATAATAAACAACTGAAAACATCATCAAATGAGTTTGTACAAAAAACAATTATTTTTTACATGAAATATATCTAAGCCAACTTTCCAGAAAATCTCGAGGGGCCATGGTGACCACTATAGACATGCTGTCCCTGGGTGTACATGTTTTAACTTAGCTCTGTGCGATTAGAACATTTAATGCAGCTCTATATGTTCTGAGATGCATTACTTACGATCATATGGCAACTGTTTAAATACGAGAAATATCATCATCGGCACACATTGAAAATAATGGTGAAAAAACTAAACTACCCGCTATGTATTCAAAAACCACTATCAGCAACCTTATGTGGACATGGATCATTATTGATGTCAATGATGTCAATGATGTCAATGATGTCATATCAATGAACCTGTACCAACAGACTAGCCCATCAATGAATCTGTACCAACAAACTAGCCCATCAATGAATCTGTACCAACCAACAGACTAGCCCACCAATGAATCTGTACCAACAGTTTAGCCCATCAATGAATCTGTACCAACAAACTAGCCCATCAATGAATCTGCACCCATTACCCATGAGTGCACTTTGTTCCTGGAGGTAAAGACTCTAATTACTTGATTTTACATCCACCTGCGACCACGATAGTTAGTCTTATCACGTGACTCGGATAACATGTCTTGTTAGCTATTATTTGGTCATAAATCTCCCCATTCTTGTCTTGTGTATTGATCGTATAGGTCGTTAGAGGATATTTTTGTCGGCGCTTTGTAAAAAAAAGTTAGCTTCAAGGGTAATGAAGTTGTACGCATAGGTCGTGAGTCGTAAATAAAAAACAGAGGCTAGATTCAATAGAGTGCAATTGTTATATATATATATATGTATATATATATATATATATATATATATATATATATATATATATATATACATATACATATATATATATATATATATATATATATATATATATATATATATATATATATATTCATATAGGCATATATATAAGCATATATTTAGGCCTATATATATATATAATTTGTGTGTATTTATTATTTTATTTTAACGATAGATTTAAACGATTTCAAGAGAGTAAAATTGCTGTTTATAAATGTTTTATGACATTCATAATTTGGAAAATGTGAACAGCTATAGCAAAAATTGTATCATTTTGAGACCCATGATGGTGTGGATGCTAGTAATCCCCCCTTCCCCCCCCCCCTCCCCATCCATAAACTGTTACAACGTAAACGAAAGTTATTTATGTTCTAATTTTCAAACAAAACCATATATGAGAAGTCTTCAAATAAATAAATCTATTGTACTACAAACTGATTTAGAATGTCTATTCTATTCCACATTGTACTTTGGTGGCAAAATACACAGACATCTGACGAGAGTGAAGCCCTAAGTACACCAGTGTCCAGCTTCAGTGGGAACAACAATTCAACGTGGTAGTGCTATTTTTAGTCCTGTTCCTGGGCTGATATTTCTTAGCTTCAAACAGGTTTAGAGGATATGATGTGCAGTGAACGCTTGATGGAAACGTCTTTCAAAGTGCGAGCTGAGAAAAGTGCAAGATGCAATGGAAGTATTCACAATATGCAGATGTAGACCACGGATTTTTGTTGTTAGTGATAAAGGAGAAGCATTAGTTTTTTAATGAAGTAATTTAATAAAGCATATTTAAAGAGTATTCATTTCTCATTGCTAGTTTGTATAGCTTCCCTTGCCATAACCCCAGTCTAAGAATAGCTAATCTTGACTCTTGTTCAGATCCTAACCTAACTCCAAACCTGACTTTTTAACAATGACCCTAACTATTTCATATGTACTTTATTAACCAGTCACTGCTGTTGAAAGACTGAGAAAACATCAAACTAAATTATATAAACAGTTTCTAATTAGGCCTGTAGATCAGCCTGTTCCAGGGCACCAAATAGAACCCTGTCAGGGCGCCTAAGGACGCCCTGATTTCGATTTAGTGACCAACTATGGTAAACCTTTTTACCCACAGCTTATCGCACACTTTAGAACAAAAGTATGCACCATAGCGCTCACATGATAACCTAGGGCGCCAAATCGAATCCTGCCCGGGCGCCGGCGGACGCGCCTGATTCAATTTAGTGAACGACTCTACAAACCCCCAGCTTGTCCGCAAAACCGAAACATAGAAGTAAACATAGAGGACGTATAGGAGTGGTTTCTTAACTGTAATTGATTAAAAATAATAATTAGTAAACAGTACGTCCAGTTAATAAATAAATTATTTAAGTACCATAAGATCAAAATAAAACCCTTAATTAACAGTGCGTTTAAAAAATATTTTTCAAAAAAATTCTTTAACTTTTCTTATTTTTAAAAAGTCTTAGAATTTAAATCAATACCACCCGTCTGTTCGCAACCACTCCATCCAACCCTCCAAATTTTGGTCGATTACCTTAAGGCTCGCTTGTCGCTCTAACAAAAGCCGATTAAAGTAAAATCTGTTAAGGTTTATCTTGAGAAATAGCCATATTTACCATCAAGATGTGAAAATCAATAAGAATCTAGACTAATAGGCGTCAAAGCGACCCAAAAACAATTTTTTAAAAATGACTTTTTTTTAAAGTGAAGAGTTAATATATGTTGATTAGAGTTTACAAACACAAATTAAGTAATTCTACCTGTAAAACTAAAAAATTATTTTAAATATGAACAATGCTAAAGCTTTTTTTTCTCAATTTATTGAGCCTTTTAGTGGTTTCCATTAGCGAAATTGTTTTTTTCCAACTGACTAATTCCCCGACCAGATTCACACACACACACACATACACACACACGTTTCTACACTCTCTGCCCCCTCTCTCCCTCACAAAACACGTCCACACAACATCAGGCTGATTAAGTCCGTTTAATGTAATTTCTAAAAGTGCTTTCCTTACAACCATTTCACCCTCACAAGCAGCTACAGTGCTGAAATCTATCACCACTAATCGATTCAAGCAACAATGTAGGGCTCGCTCTTACAGCTGAGACATAAACATGATCACAGAACGTGTTTGGAGAACAGCAACGTTTTTACACTCAGCGATACAACAAACAGGATAGATCAATAACCATCGTCATATTATATATATATATATATATATATATATATATGTGTGTGTGTGAGTGTGTGTGTGTGTGTTTGTATGTGAGTTTGTGAGCGCGTGCGTGCATGTGTGTGTTTATGTGTGTGCGTGTGCGTCATCCTCTTTCATCTGGTAGCATCATACCACATTTTCCTCCTCTATGATGTCATCGTAGCATCATATCACATCTATCTCCTCTATGATATTATGGTATCATCATATCACATCTATCTCCTTTATGATGTTCTAAAAAATCCACCTCAAATCCACGACCTTTTACAAAACGTAACCGATATCTCCACTCTGACCTATTTTAAGAAGCATCCATCATTTCCACATTAGTTTTACGACAAGTGATTTCAACACCACTGACCCGCTTGTTTGGATTACCATTTCAAAAAAATCTGGTACAGACTGAGTACACATAGGTTCCAGTACTCTCTTGTCTCTCTGGTATAGATCTATCTCTTACAGAATATGAAGAGCGTTAAGTGATCTTACCTTCACTATAGCAACCACAAAACACATTATTATGTTAGTTATCTGCGATAATAATTTTAGGCTAATTTAATTGTGTAAATTAAGAGTATTGTTACGAACAGTCGTTTACATTGGTAAAAACATACTGGTGAATTTAAGTCTCTAGATAAATAAGATTATTGAGGAAGTATAGTTTTGTAAAGATTTAACTAACGCCAAACATGTACGTACATTAAAAAGTATTTAAATTTTCGTTTGAGTAAAAAAAAACAATAATAATTCATCAAGCATTTGAATAATCAAGAATAAAATAATATTAATTATATTATTCAAACAACTCTAATTGAAGCTTATATTATTAGACATGTGCAAAAAAGGCAACAACAACGCGAATCATAACTTCTTTCTAACAGCTAAACAAACATGTTTAAAGACATTTTTCTCCTTAACATTTAAAAAAAAAAACAACTCCATTAGTTGAAAGCCCGGTGTTTTTTTCTCACAGCTCTTAAATGAACACCTAAGTAGTTTTGTCTAGCTTGGCTATTCTGTCCATTAAAAAATCTGATGTTAATTTAGTGCGTTCCTGAAGTTTGCCGGCTAGGTCATATAATAATTTAATTGTCTTAACTTAAGGTATCCTTAAATTGACATCATCATGAGATGACAGAATTAAAAACCGCTTAAAACTTTGGCAAAAAGTTCACCATAAAATATAAAATCATCGATCTTTTTAAATTTTTAATATTGGAGACGAAAACTGATATTGTCAATGTACACTGCGCTTTTTCCATCAAATAAAACTGTTTGATGGTGTAAAAATAACTAGTGGCTTCAAGTTTCATCACGTGGGGGTCAAAATATATCAGCACTTGCAGACATGGAGGCAGTCAGCAGACGACGTAAAATAGGCGCTAAGGCTTTCTATTTGAACAGAAATTTAAATATTCAGACGGATAACAGTAATGAAAATACAGCCCTACTTAGCAGACGACAGATGAACGTAAACTACCTCTTACGATATCCAACTTCATTATTGTTTTAAAAATAAAATAATTAAAATCTACGTCTGTTTTCTTTATGTTGATTACGTTTCCTCGTAAATCAGAAGTCCAGTAATTGCTTTTGAAGAAAATTTATGGCTATCATGTAAAATCGTTTTTCCTTTCTGAAAAAAAACCCCACGAAACTTGAAAAAAAAATAAAGCAAATATTGTTTGGTTTTTAATCGTTGGACATCTCTATCATGATGAACGTAACAGTTAATCGTAGGACATCTCTTTCATGATGAACGTAACAGCGTCAAGCGACACCTTTTTATGGAATGAGATAATATTTTTATTGTGTTTAGGGAAGTGTTTGACAACTAGCTAAATTAATTAGAGGTGCTGATGAGAAATTTAATTAGAAGTGTTGTTGTAGGAGCTGATTCTGCTTAAAATGGCTTCCCTGGGGCCTGTCAAAGAGATACCAAATGAAGAAAATCTTACGTAATTTTGTGTAAAGCTGCTGAAGTTGTGGTGGTTGTAATTAGGAGAGAAAGCAATTGGGCAATACTTACAGAATGGTAATTAGATTAGAAAATAGTGTAGAAATGTCGCATGAGAATGTAATAGAAATCAGTAATCGCAATACAAACACCAACTTCTAACCATTCACACCACTGGAAACGACTACTTTTTTTGTCGTCCCTGTCTTGTAAGTCTGAGTCTAGCTATTATTTCTCTTCGCCAACGTACACATATCTTTATTTGGAGTTCAAGCAAGATATCCTCTGGACAATGTACATCATCATACTACTAGCAAGCTTTTTACACAATACCAGGACATGGCGTGTTCATACGCTGGACAACTCTTGATCAAGATCAAGCTTAAATTTAAGATCAGGATTAAATGTTTAAGTTGAAGGGTTAAATTTTTTATGAACTAATTATCTAGTATGCCATATTTATCAGATGACTATAAATTCAATATGCGACGACGTGGTAGAGCTCACGATTACTTATCAGAAAGTCTCGAGTTCGGATCCCTGCGTCCACCCAGCCCTGATGTTTAGGAAAGTAACTGAGGCTTGGCTGACCTTACTATCCCCATGTATGGCGAACTCTACTTCATCTACCCCATTTGCCTTGGGCACGAACGGGAAAAGATTATAATAAATTCATTAATATTTGCGTTTTTTGGCTGTTTTTTTTATATTTTCTTGTAATTTTCGTATTTTTTTGGGGTTAAACTAACTGCTCACATTCTTGTATCCCACATCCCACGCAACCATTTTTTAACTTGATTATTATTGATGTTGGTGTTCCAACAACAAATTGTTTAGATGATAAAACTTCTAAGTGTACTTATGTTACCAAGTATTAGAGTATTTTCCACTAGCGGCCAAATGAGGCTCTTTTACCCGTAGACTGTCTGAAAATGGAAATAATAATGTTTTAACCTTAACTTCCTGCTGCAATGAAAAAGTTAACATATACTTTACTTTTTATGTGAGAGTTGATTCTTTAGATATTATTATATCCATTCAAGTGAAATGTGTTCAGTCCTTTTTTTACTTTCTCGTATATACGAAGTATAGAGAAAGTCTTGTAATCATGCAAAAAAAATCGAGATTTTGGAAATCTCGACGTTTTACACCTCACTGATACGGAAAAACATAATTTTGCAATCTTGTTCGTATGTCTGTGTGTATGTGTGTCTGTAAACACGATAACTTGAGTACCGTTACAGCTAGGTTGATAAAATTTCATATATAAGTGTTTCATCAAAATCGTAGATCTGTATCGACTTTTGAGAGATTTCCGATAACCGGAAGTGGTATTTTTTTTACTTTGAATTTTTCAAAAGCCTATAACTTGAGTACTATTTCACATAGATAAATAAAATGTCATTTATAAGTAAAAGATCTAATTCTCTACCTTCTATCAAATTTTGAGTAATTTCCGTTGACCGGAAGTAGTAATTTACGCTATTTCCGATTTCACAAAAAACTAATGTAAATTTATAAAGTTTTAATAATATTGCGCACTATTATGCACATTTCGTTTGGCGTTCACTTGGTGTGCAATTCTTTTTTCTACGAGATTTTATTCTATTTTAAAAACTTTAAGAATTTAAAATGGAGTTCCTATCCCCTGTTGCTTTATATAAGAATATTCGAGAAAGTTTAGGGGAGAATTTTTCAATTCTTATTCTGTTTTTCTCGCGCAATTGACCAAGAACAGTTTGTTTCGTTAAAAGTTCGACCATGATAGGTTTTGTGTGAAATATTTATATATTATATTATATGACAATGGGTTGTGGGATTTGCTGGGGGGTCGCCAATATTTATTGTTGCGATGTCAAGAATCGTTGTTGAGATGTCAAGATTTGTTGTTTAGATGTCAAGATTTGTTGTTGAGATGTCAAGAATCGTTGTTGAGATGTCAAGAATCGTTGTTGAGATGTCAAGATTTGTTGTTGAGATGTCAAGATTTGTTGTTTAGATGTCAAGATTTGTTGTTGAGATGTCAAGATTTGTTGTTGAGATGTCAAGATTTGTTGTTGAGATGTCAAGAATCGTTGTTTAGATGTCAAGATTTGTTGTTGAGATGTCAAGATGTATTGTTTAGATGTCAAGATTTGTTGTTGAGATGTCAAGATTTATTGTTTAGATGTCAAGATTTGTTGTTGAGATGTCAAGATTTATTGTTTAGATGTCAAGATTTGTTGTTGAGATGTCAAGATTTATTGTTTAGATGTCAAGATTTGTTGTTGAGATGTCAAGATTTGTTGTTGAGATGTTAAGATTTATTGTTTAGATGTCAAGATTTGTTGTTGAGATGTTAAGATTTATTGCTTAGATGTCAAGATTTGTTGTTGAGATGTTAAGATTTGTTGTTGAGATGTCAAGATTTGTTGTTTAGATGTTAAGATTTGTTGTTTAGATGTCAAGATTTGTTGTTTAGATGTCAAGATTTGTTGTTGAGATGTCAAGATTTGTTGTTGAGATGTCAAGAATCGTTGTTGAGATGTCAAGAATCGTTGTTGAGATGTCAAGATTTGTTGTTTAGATGTCAATATTTATTGTTGAGATGTCAAGATTTGTTGTTTAGATGTCAAGATTTGTTGTTGAGATGTCAAGAATCGTTGTTGAGATGTCAAGATTTGTTGTTTAGATGTCAAGATTTGTTGTTTAGATGTCAAGATTTGTTGAGATGTCAAGAATCGTTGTTGAGATGTCAAGATTTGTTGTTTAGATGTCAAGATTTGTTGTTTAGATGTCAAGATTTGTTGTTGAGATGTCAAGAATCGTTGTTGAGATGTCAAGATTTGTTGTTTAGATGTCAAGATTTGTTGTTTAGATGTCAAGATTTGTTGTTGAGATGTCAAGAATCGTTGTTGAGATGTCAAGATTTGTTGTTGAGATGTCAAGATTTTTTGTTAAGATGTCTATATTTATTATACATAAGCGACGATTTAATCGTTTTCAAATTGCGACACAGTTATGGAAAATTTTGAAAAGGCTGATTTCAAATAAACTGATTTTTTTTTTAGCACCCAACGGATAAATGCTATTTTTTTTAATTTAACTTGCGCTTTAAAATAAGTAATCTATAATGCCAGTAGTTAAATAGTTATTTGTACGAATTCAATTTAGTTTTCAACAAAATCAATGAACATATCAAGAGTTTAAAGAGATCTATGGTGTGAAAGAAATATCCTTGATTCATCTTAATATGTTTCACCCTCCAGGGCTTCTGAAAATCTCCATACTTAGTTGAGGCCTGCTTTACTCCATACTTAGTTTAGGCCTGCTTCACTTCATACTTTCATTAGGCCTGCTTTACTCCATACTTTGTTTAGGCCTGCTTTACTCAATACTTTGTTTAGGGCTGCTTTACTCCATACTTTGGTTAGGCCTGCTTTACTCAATACTTTGTTTAGGGCTGCTTTACTCCATACTTTGGTTAGGCCTGCTTTACTCCATACTTTGTTTAGGCCTGCTTTACTCCATACTTTGTTTAGGCCTGCTTTACTCCATACTTTGTTTAGGCCTGCTTTACTCCATACTTTGTTTAGGCCTGCTTTACTCCATACTTTGTTTAGGCCTGCTTTACTCCATACTTTGTTTAGGCCTGCTTTACTCCATACTTTGTTTAGGCCTGCTTTACTCCATACTTTGTTTAGGCCTGCTTTACTCCATACTTTGTTTAGGCCTGCTTTACTCCATACTTTGTTTAGGCTTGCTTTACTCCATACTTTGTTTAGGCCTGCTTTACTCCATACTTTGTTTAGGCCTGCTTTACTCCATACTTTGTTTGGGCCTGCTTTACTCCATACTTTGGTTAGGCCTGCTTTACTCCATACTTTGGTTAGGCCTTTACTCCATACTTTGGTTAGGCCTGCTTTACTCCATACTTTGGTTAGGCCTACAAGTAATTTATTATTTAAAAAAACAAGACAAAAATTATCTCTTTAAGTAACCTATTTAAGCTAGCATTGGTTCATGTGTGTATATATACAATCACAACCTAGAATGTTTTTGTAAAAACTTAATTACATTTTTTTGCTTTATGATATTCTACCTTTTTAATTAGTAAATGGTCTGTTTTAGATTTCTCTACGTCATCGTGATATAGCCTACTCACTACAGTACTCGGGTAAAAAAAAAGGATTCAGGTAACATTCATGACTTCAGTTTTAGGACTCTGTCTTGCGACATCTGCAGCATATAATAAGCTAATCTATGCTTGCTTGCAATATACTTTTCCTCTAATTGTAAATAAGGTAATATATGCTTCTTTGCAATATGCTTTTCTCTAATTGTAAATAAACGAACCAATGCTAGCTTGCAATATGCTCTCCCTCTAATTGTAATTGTAATTAAGCTAATGTATGCTTGCAGCATGCTCTTCGTCCAGTTGTATTTAATTACGATTTTTTCTAGAATGTTCTAAGGTTTCACGTGAAACTTATTTTTTTAACAGTTCAAGCAATTAAACTACATTGGTTATGTCACATCGTTAAGTTCCACGCAATACATAGTTTCAAATGATTAAACTAAGCTGGTTATGTAGTTTATTAGATATCATGCTATCTTCCGTTTCAAATAGTTAAACTGCTCTTTTTCTTCGTCGTCGTTCTTAATTCAAGTATTGGAAGGGATTCCCTCCAAACCAATTAAGTAGTAAATGCCAACTTGTTATGCGCCATTGATGCCATTGACCCCGATTTCAGCCTGCTTTTCTTTTTGGATTTGCTTCCATAGCATTTGTCCAACCAAGAACAAACTACAAAGCAGCAGTTGTTTGATTTTGGAGTTGTCTCTCCTAGAAGAGTGGCTGTCCCTAGCTAACTAGCCTCATCTGCTCCGGGAGTTCGAACCAACCTGATTACTCCGACCTCTTTAAACTATTCTGATTATAAAGCTCTTTAAGTTCAATATTCTTGTTTTTCTCCTCTAAACCTTCAAGAAAAAAAAATGCTACTGGAATTCCCACTGTCAAAGTGTGTCAAAAAAATTAAAACCAAATTAGCCAGGACAATCCTTACACTTCATTGCCAATCTTTGACGTCGTTTCTATTAGGTTGCTTAACCCAGATTTTCACAATTTTGAAACTACTTTGTAGCCTGCGTCTAATACTCTGCCACTTATCGTAATTGTAAAAACATGAAAAGTGACAGCTGCATTCTAAATGAAGTTTCTGGCTTGTTTGTGGTTGATATTTATTCGCTCTCTAAATACGTCAGAAAATAATTTTATGTTGATCAGAAATTGGATAATTTATAAAGTGGAGCATAATTGCTACATTGATTTTTCTGGGGTTCCGTTGGGAAAACATTTACATCGATTGTCTAAAAAATCTGGCCAGAAAGTAAACCGAAATTTTTATAAAGATAATCAAAAACATCGAAAATAATGCCACTTTTTGTAATCAGGCAGAATTTCATTTAGGATGGAGAAATAAAATGAAGGTAATTCTAGCAGAAAAATATAACATTTGCTATCCAAAAACAGGCCAACTTGACATTTTGCTTTGAATTATTCTTCAGAAATGGCTGCTTTTTAATGTTTTAGTTTAGTATAAAACATATTTCATTCTTTTCAAGAAGTACACAGAAAATATAAACATGTTATCAATACCCAAAAAATGCATGATCGATTTCAATTTTTAAAAAACAAACATTAAATTTAACGGATATTTCGCTGACTTGGTTCATTATCAAAGCGCAAAAACTTCAAAACAACAACTCAACTTGATTTCATGGAGATTTTCTTTTATTAAAAAATGTAATAATTTTTGTTTGAAAAATATTAGTTATACAAAAATAAACTGCACTTTTCCTGTTTTTAGCTTAACCTTATCTGATAAAAGAGCAATCGAGTTGTAATTACGGTTTGCTGTCTAGAATATTTCAGTGTTAACTTTTAAAATTTGTTATTTATGGATAATAAGCTACGTGGCAAACATCGGTCGCTGACGTTTAATTGTGTACTAATATTTGAACCAGCCAGCACAGGAAAACGGCTGAATAATAAGTCATTTCCTTAACACGTGGTGTGCTGTTTATTGATTTCATTTGCACTGAACTTACATTAGTATTTTAGTAAAGTAAGAGCGGCGTTCGATCGACCAATATCAAACATTTTAGACTAAATTAACGCCATCACTCAACTTTGTCAACAAGATCTATGACTATTGGGCACCCGATAAAAGGGCACCCGTCATTTTGGGTTCAATACGCATATTAAGCGTACATCGTATTATAAGCTCGGAAAAAAACTTAAACACATACTGCTATGTAAACTTCTGCCTTGCATAACACTCCAATTAAGCTCCAGTTATAAAATATCTTCTCGTTATGCATTGAACTCTCTCAACTCACTTAGCTCCCGTGGGATGTTTGTGCATTTTTTTTTTATTTACGAGATATTTGTTGGTATTTTGTCTCGGCAACCACATTGTCGAGAGTCATAATTGTCGTAGACTTTTTTGTCTGGAGTTATTTTGTCGGAAGAATTTAGATGGAAGGAGAAAATATGTATTTATATTGACATGCTTCACATTTTCCTAAGTTCTTTTAACAGGAATTTCGGGAAACCCTTTTGTCGGAATCTTGTTGTCGTGGGACAGAATGTCGGTACTGTTCTGTCACTGGCCGTTTTAATCTCTCATAGGGCCGTGTTGCTCCTAGTTGAGTCAGTATCATGTTCAGCAGGCTTTGCTTTCCTGCGATTTAGTTTTGGAATCTACAAGAGCTCGGTTAATTATGGTAACATTCGGTAACTACACAGGACTTTCAATAGTACGTATTGACACTCAGCACAAAAGCTTAATTTGATCCACTCGACCCCCCCCCCCCCCCACACACACACACGCACACACACTAAAAAAATGCTGCATGTGCCCTAAGTGTTTTGCGTGTCCAAAAATCGATTTCTTTCTTTTTGTTTTGAGTGCTTCCAGCTTTGATGTCCTCTAAGGTTAAATAAGATGTTTTTAACTATTCTCCTTTGCATAAATGAGATGGTGTATAACTACATTGTATGGAGCTTCAATACAATCCATATTTCTAATCCACACTCGACAAGAAAATGTTTCTTTTTTAATAAACCAAGTAATTCTTATTAATAAAAAATAAACCGGGAGTGATCTCCCCTAAACTTTCTCGACTTATATAAAATAACAGGGGATGGGAACTCGGGCTATAGACATGATTTTTAATCCATTTTAAATACTTAAAGTTTTAAAAAAAATTCATAAAAAACGTTTTAATAACAAGCTTTTATGTAATGATGCACTAAAAAGTAGAAAATAAATTATAGACTACTATTTAAATAACTATAAAGAAAATCGTGGGTCACTTTAGTATCTATTGGATACCTTTACTAATGTTAAGGAAGACACCCACGCTTTTCTTTATAGTTATTTAAATAGTAGTCTATAATTTATTTTCTACTTTTTAGTGCATCATTACATAAAAGCTTGTTATTAAAACGTTTTTTATGAATTTTTTTTCAGTACTTTACATGTTTTATTTACAATAGTGTGACATGACTAAAAACCATTGCGCGCCTACTGAACATCACGTTCAGTAGGCGCGCAATTGTTTTTGAACGCAGCCATTACGTGATGGCGCAGCTATTGAAGGTGATGACGCGTGTGGTGTGGTTGGCTAGACATGCCTACTAATTCGGTCCAAATTTTAATTAATTCATAAAAAATTAATTAGGCATCCAATTAAGTCAAATTTAGATTCAGATTGCATTGTCTTCATGTCTTGACCCACGTGCCAACTGTGAATCGTATCGGTCAAGTAGAACTGTCCGAATTTTCACTCCTGCGTTTCCGTCTAGACTGACGACTGACAACTGACGAGGAAGTGAGTTAAATAAAAGCTTGTAATAAAAAAGTTCATAAAAAACGTT